GTGTGGACATAGCCTGTAGCTGTGCAGTTAGGAAGGAGGCGGCGCCTTCTGATGTTCCTAGAAAGCTACCGAGAAGCCTAACGCCGTCAGAACTAGTTGGCACCCCAGGCGGCAGCTGCACTGCCTCGTCTATCGGCCGGTTGCTCCACACGACACATTTCCCTGGGTTGTGTCGCAGGCCTACTTGGGACAATTGGCTCGTGAAATAGGAAAAGGCAGCTACGGTTTCACGGTGGTCGCCTAGGAAGCTGACGTCGTCGGCGTATGCCAGGCACAGTACGCCGGGGTGTGCAATAGCTGTCTCTCTTAATGCGGGGTGGATCCCAACTGCGAATAGAAGCGGCCCCCAGGGATCCCCTTGTCGAACCCCGCGTTCACTCCTTAGTGGTGCGCTACTGAAGCTAGCGTCCAGGAACAGGGATGATGGGTGGCCGTATGTCAGTTTAGCTATGAGAGAGCCGGATCTTGTAAAGCGGTAGCTATGGCTTGCCTCGATATGCTGTTGAAGGCGTTAGAAATGTCTGTCTGTAGGATAAGGCTCTCTCTCTCTCTCTCTCTCTCTCTCTCTCTCGCTCTCTCTCTCTCTCTCTCTCTCTCTCTCTCTCTCTCTCTCTCTCTCTCTAACGGTCCTTTGCATTGATAACAGGGGCTGGTACAGACATGCAGATCCTAAGGGAGATTTCAGCTAGCATAAGGACAAGCAAGCAAAACCTATGGACCAACCAAACACGCAAGCAAGCAACCACACACCCCTACCCACCCCCCCAACCCCCCCCCCCCCCCTATGTCTAAGGTGCCTCTAGTGTTGTGAAGCAGTCCCCGGGGTTCATCTCCCCCTCTGGTCCCCCCAATGGGGGGTTCTCTGCTCGGGCTGTCAGATTCAGCTTTGTGAGGAAGCTCACTGCTTGGGCTCTCTGGAGGGCAATGGACCAGCGTTGGCGGAACTGGTGGAGCATCTTCGCGGCCTGATAGGCAGACGGGTCCGCATTGAAGATTCTCCGTGCAGCTTTGTCCGCCAGCAACTTCAGGAAGGTGGGTACCTCGTCGCAGGGGCAGCCGTAGGTCTCAACCACCAAGGGGACAAACCCTGCAAACTCTGCCCTGCCGTGGTAGAGGTCTATCTTCTTGTCCGCTGCCTCCCGTGCTGCCCAACCCCTCCCCTTCCGTGCAGTCTCGTCCCGTTTGCTGATGGGGTCTGTTATCGTGACGTCAGCCAGCCACACCGCTCCCGAGCTCCCATCCCTAAAGGCCAGGTCAGCCTTCTCGTTGTCCACCGGGCTGAAGGCAGTGCACTCCTTGTGCACGGCAAACCCTGCATCCTGCGACATGCGGATGCATTCATCCCGCAGCTCGTTGTGGGTGTTGGTCCGGCCGTGCCCAGTGCCGCACCGGAGCAAGTGGTTCGGCAACCTTTTGTCCAGGATGGGGACTCGTTTGTTGCAATCACAGCAATCTGGTACAGAGAGTGGCATGCCTAGCCTGAACTGGAGGGCGAATGTGAAGTGGCAGGGGTATAGGCGCAGTGAAGGCATGTAGGGGATTGCCATGAGCCAGTCCCCCGCCCCATAGCCCGTGAGGGACATGAGGCGCTGGGTGTGGCCCAGCCGGGGGTTCAGCTCCATCTGCCTGGATGCTGTGATCTGGGCGGCACTCCGGCCCCCTTGGACTAGGAGTGCTAAGCGGTGTTGCAGCTGGCCCTTGGGTTTTGTCTGCTCCGCCGATATAAGATCCCTCGCCTCCTGCGAGAGGCTGTCCCTGCAGTCCCTGATCCACCGCTGCAGTTCAGTGGGGCTGCGATCAGCTGCTGCGGGGGTATCCAGTGCTGCTGTCAGTGTGGCCCCTGCCTGTCCCCCCAACTGGCTGAGGAGTGAGTGTGCCTGCACAAGACTGGCGAGCATCTAGAAGTGTGTACAGCAGTGCCCGGCCCCACCTTGACCACTCAGCTTCGGGTAGCAGGTAAAGAGGTGTGGTGCGTGCTAGGTACGAGATGCGTCTTGAGATACACCGCGTTAGTAGCAGCGCTGCTACTTGTGGGTCCATGGTGGCTATGTGGGGCAGTGGGGACGACATTGTCTCTAGCTGTGACCGTAGAAAGGCCGCTGCACCGTCCGTTGAGCCTATGAAGCTCCCAAGCACCCGCAATCCCTCCGCGTGCAGCGGGACACCCTCGGGCAGCTGCTGGGGATCTGTGGCTGCTGCACTCCATGCGGCGCACTTCTCTGGGTTGTGGGTCAGTCCCACATCGCGCAATCCCGTCGTGAAGTGACGGAAGGCGTCAGAACAATCCGCAGCAGGGCCCAGGAATGTGACGTCGTCGGCGAACGCGAGGCACATGACTGATGGGTAAGCTGCTGCTTTCCTGGAAAGAATAGGGTGGATTCCCGCGGCAAACAGTAGTGGGCCTAGCGGATCACCTTGTCGCACACCCGTCTCGCTAGCCAGAGCCTCACAACCGAATCCCGCGTCAAGGAACAACTGAGCTGGACAGCTGTAGGATATTTTGACGAGGGGAAGGAGGCCCTGGAGGTCTGTGTCGCAAAGTGCGCCGACTATCGCTGCGCGGCTAATGGAGTTAAACGCATTTGCTAGGTCCGCCTGCAGGATGATCGCGTCTGGGTTTGCGCTAGTGAAGGCTCTCGCGGCGTGGATTATCAACTCGCTGCCGCCTTAGACGGACACGCAGTATTGTAGTGGGAGGAAGTGCGCGCGGCATTCGTGAGAGAGGGCTGAGAGGGCGGACTTAGCTGCTAACCGTAGGATACATTCGCCTACCGCGATGGGTCTAGTGCCTCCGTCTGGCTTTGCTAGAGCTATGAGGCGGCTAGCAGTTAGTAACGAGTGTTGGGTGCAAATTCACATTGCACGACATCCTGCCGTCTGTTTGTACGAGTATGCGTGTGCGAATGGATTTGGGTGTGAATGGAATGTTCGTGTGTTTGTTTGCTTTCGCAATTTTCGCTTGAAGCATTTGCAGGTACTCGCGCATTGTGCGCTTCGGCACAACATTGTACGCGCTATGAACAGTACAAGCAGAAAGGACGAGCTCGCAAAGGAACCCAAGATGGAAGCTTTGCGGTTCAACTTACTTGATTGCGCAGATTCAGTTCTATCCAACTCGAAATTGTACTATTTTGTTTGGTTGACTATAGTGTAGCAGGGCAGGCACTATAGGGGTACAATTTAGGTGAAGGTTGGATGTTGTTTGTCTGTATCTGCATGCTACAGGGCCAGGGGAAACCAGCGGAACCAGCATTTGGCTGGTTGGGCAAAGACAAAACAGGTTCTGTTTTTAGGACCTGAACCTGGTTGTTGTTTTCCCAGGTTGGAAAAACAGAACCAGAGGTTGTTTACCAACCTACCACCTGCTGTTTTGTCCAGCCAGGTTGGTTCTGTTGCTTGGAATTATTTGGGATCATCCCTGGTTGTTCCCAGGTTTATTCCCAAGGTCCTTGCTAGCTAGAACTATTTATTCCTTCTCTGTTTGTACCTGGATATAGTCAATTTGATTCAAGCGAATTCCTTCCTTCCTGGAATTCCGTTTCTACGCGGTGCGACGGCGGAATGCTACCCGAGTCAACGCTAGTACGCTAGCACTTCAACACTAGGCAAACGCTGTCCGAGCCATAACTTCGTAATGGCAGAACTTTTCGCGAGGCAACTTGGTTCATTTTAAAGCTCTTGGAGAGAGCTTCGATATAGGAAATTCTCAGCTTAATCCGATCGACGGTCTGCACGATACGCTGCGCGACGTTCAAGGTACTCTTGCTGTTTTGACTAAGTCCCTCTTGATCTCTCTCTCTACAAACTCGGACCCGAGGATAGGGGCTGGTCTTGTACCAGGCACCCAAGGACCCTTGGAGGTGACCCCGAGGAGAGGTTTTAAGTTTGATTAAAGTCTTAATAGCTTGAGTTTATTAGGCCCTTACACCAACAACGAGCAAATCTCCTCAGGCAGCTTGCCTTGCAGGATGGTGTTGACGAGGGCATGGAGGTGTGTGGTAACCCCCGCGTTGGCGAGTGATGCGTCGCGGAGGTGTTCAAATGTCATACCCGATGGTCCTCCTCCCACCCCGTTCTCACAGCGACACAACATTTTAATGAAGTCCCCCTTTTCTGTCGAAGCAGCATGTACAGAATCGGGGATGCTCCAATCGATGGTTCCAGGTGGCGCGGGTGGGTGTTTTGCTTTGAGAGCGGCGAGGATAGTTGCAGATGGGTCAGCGACCGGCGTTGACTCAAGGGCGAGGATCGCCCTGCGAAGGCTGCCTTTCGTGCAAGGCCTTCTGCCCTGGCTCGTTTGCCTATGGCATCTGGTGAATGACGAGGCGGGTGGGGTCCGGTTATTGGGGTAACCGCCGCGTCGTACAGCTGCTGCCATTCGCCCTTGTTGAATTGGCGAAGTCGTTGCTTGACTGCCGGCCAATTGGGCTTCTCGGTTGACGGGAGGCGAAGGGTGAGACGCGGGATAAAAAGTAACAGGCGCCAGCCTGCGACTGACGCAGGGTTCCGCGCGAGGTGGAGGAGTGGTGTCAGGAGGGCAGTTGCAAAAAGTGGGCGAATGTCAGCGGGGAGTTTTCGCGACAGTGGGGGCTGACGACTGTCGCGTAGGGGGGACAGGTCCCAATTTTCCACTTCGCCGAACCGCACCAAGTCCTTGGCCAATTGTTCAGGCAAGAATGGGCGGGTCTCTGATGCGGTGGTGTCCGGTCCTGGCTGGTTCGATTCGCCACCTGCTGCAGCTGGGATTGGGGCGGCCCGGCATGGTGCTGGGTTTCCCCGGCGTCTGCCTTCCCGTTCCTCCTCCTCTAACTCCCCCGATTCTTCCGTGGTGGATTCTTCCACCACCTCAGCTATAAAGATAGGGTCTCTTCCTTCCTCCTCAGCTTCATCATCCTCCACTCTTCGAGTTAAGGCGCGGCGTGTTTCCCTCTGGAAGCCATTCTCTGGTCCGCCTCCCCTTCCAGTCGCTCCTCCTCGTCCGCCGCCTCGTCCGCCCCGTGATGCCTGTGTCGATTGGCGACGAGTATTATTCGTACTCGCCGCGGCCCTTTGTCGTGGCGTCGGCTGTAATTGCCCCGCCGGCCTCGTCGTCCCCGGCGCCTGTGGCTGTGGGGATATCGCCTCTTCCCGCACCTCAATCTGCGCCGTCGTCGGTGACTCAGGCTGGCCGTGTCCTCGCGCCTGCTGCCCCGCCCGTTCCCGCCGTGGCGACGTTGTCTGCCCCTGGCGTGGCGCCTGGTCATGCGCCCGCGTCGTCACCTGCTCCCGCGCTCGCCCCGGCGTCCGCTCCTGCCCCTGCCCCTGGGCTTGTTGCAGCGTCTGATCCTGCGCACGCTTCTGCGCCTGCGCCGGTGGTTCCACCTGTCCCCGTGGGGGTGCCGGCGCCCGTGCCTGTGGTTGCGGCGTCGTCTGCTGCTGTTGGAGACGCCTCCGCGCCGCCACTGGTCGCGCCTGCCGTGGCGCCTTCTGCTGTTGCTGGGGCGGACCCGATGTACCAGCCACTTCCAGCCACCAGCGCCGGCCTGAGCGCGGCGGAGGTTCAGTCGGCTCGCGCGTCGCCTCCGGATGCTCCTGCCCCTCTGTCAGCGCCAGCAACCGTGCCGCCTCCGACCATCCAGGCGGGTCCTGCTCCCGCACCCCTTGCTCCTGTTCCGCCTGCTCAACGTCCTCCGTCCCCCGGCCGTCGGCAGCATCGGCCTCATTCCCCTGCCCCGCGTGACGAGCGGGAGACGTCACGGCGGCGTCACGATTCACCTCGCCACCGTGGTTCGCAGGCGAACTGGGCTGCACCCCGTGGCGGCCAAGGGGGCTGCTGGGGAGGGCGTGGTCGTGGTGGCGGCTGGGTGTATGATCAGCCGGTGACAATGGCGGACCTGCAGAGAGTTGTATCTGACGCGATGCGCGATGAGCGGAACGGGCGGGCGACCCTGAGCAATTCGCCGCGCCACGCTCCTGCGCCGGTGTCTCATCCTCCGCCTGGGCCCGCTCCTCCTCTTCCCTCGACTGCCGCTCCTCCTCCTCGTGCTCACGCCGCGTCCGCTGCTGCTCACGGGAACCGCCTCCGGCTGCCGTGGGTTCCTCCTGTGGCGGGCGTGGAGTTTGTGACTGCGGGCAGGGGACCTGTGACGCCGCAGTATCCGTCCCTGCTGCCCGTTGCTCCTGATCCTCCGGCTGCTGATCTTCCGGTACACTCGCTGGTAGGGCCTTCTCCTTCAGCGGATGTGCCCGAGGCGTCACTCGGGCAGCTTTAGCGCCTCTCTGAGGGTCTGCGGGCTGTTCACCCGATCCAGGTATATTGTCACGCGGCTCTTTCTCGTGGCGTGCCTCTGGTAGGCGGCCCTCTGGACGAGTGCTCGGATGCCGCTGACCGACTTGCCGAGCTCCTTGCGCCCGTGTTGGCTGCGCCCGCGTGGGGTGGAGTTGCGGGCGTTGGGCAGCTTGGGACTGCGCTCCGTGGTCTGCGCCGGGTGATGCGCGCAGCGACTGCAGTCGACCTGATCGGCGCAACCACTGTGGTGGTGCGCGAGCTTCATCGCTCAATGACGGGGCTCCTTGCTGCTCTTGACGCGGATCAGATGTAGTGTCCGCCGATGCCTCCACCATCCTTGCCATAGGACGTGGCGTTGCCTAGGCCGTTACTGTTGTTGTCATTGCTTGTAAGCCTGATTGTAGTTCTGTGTCTGTTGACCATTGCCACCCCTAACGCGCGGCCGAAGGCCGCGCTGTCGAGCGACTGCCGCCGAAGGCGGCCGGCGCGAGCCGCTCGGTTAGGAGAAGCAAAATGAAAAGGGAACTGAACAATGAGGAGAGTGAGCCCCTAAACAGGGCTATATACTAGGCTGGAGAGGGCTGGAGAGGCTAAGGACAAGCTCCTAGGGCCTCTCTCTCTCTCTCTCTCTCTCTCTCTCTCTCTCTCTCTCTCTCTCTCTCTCTCTCTCTCTCTCTCTAATGGTCCATGTATTGATAGAGTTTGAAGGTACAAACATGCAGGGTATATAGTGCAAGGTCTAGCTAACCAAATCTACAAACAAACGAACAACGCAAACCAGTCACACAACTACCACACCACCATCCTCGTTAGAGCTCCAGAAAAGGCTCAACCACCGCGAAGCAGTCCCCAAGGTGCATCTCCTGCCCTATGCCTCCTACAGGAGGGTTTTCTGCCGCCGCCGCCTCACCCAAAGAGAGTAGGAGCCCAACGGACTGGGCCCTCCGAAGAGCCACCGACCATCTCTAACGGAACTGGTGTAGGAACCGGCATAGAATGATTTTGAGTCGGCGTTGAAGTGTCGCCGAGCCGCCGTAGAATGATTTTGAGTCGGCGTTGAAGTGTCGCCGAGCCGCCGTGTTCGCTAGGAGTTTCAGGAAGGTGGGTACCTCTGCGCATGGGCAGCCGTAGGTGTCTACGGCCAGCGGGAAAAAGCCAACCGTCTCCGGTCTCCCTGGCCGCCCACCCTCTGCCTTTTTGTGCCTCTGGATCCCCTGGTGCTGATGGGATCCGTGACGGTGACGTCACAAATATAGACCGCCCCACTGCTTCTGTCCGTCATACTGAAGTCGGCCGTCTGTTCCTCGACAGGGCAGTATGCGGCCGACTCTCTATGAACTATAAACCCGGCGTCTTGCGCCATGCTAACGCAGGCATCCCGCAGTTCGTTGTGTGTGTTGATGCGCTGTTTGCCTGTACCGCAGCGGAGAAGGTGATTCGGGAGGCGGGGGTCAGTGATAGCCTTATGGTCGGCGCAGTCACAGTTCTTTGGGGTTGGAAACGGCAGCCCTAGTCGGAAACGAATGGCGTTAGCGAAGTGTAGAGGACCTATCCGCCGTGTGGGTTCAATGGGGATTGCAGTGAGCCAGTCGCCGGTGCCATAACCCGTCAAAGAGAACATCCGCTGCGTATGACCCTTGAGCGGATTCGGCTGCATAAGCCTTGTCGCCTGGACCTGCACGGCGTATCTGCTTCCGTGGACCTTAAGACCGAGCACGTGTTGAAGCCTCACGTCGGATCGTTCGAGCTGCTCCTTCTCGAGGATTTCTCGAGCATCTAGAGGCAGAGCCGTCTCGCACTCTGTGAGCCATGTGTGTAAAGGCGTGTCGGTGTCTCGCGACAGTAGCATGTGACTGTGCGCTCGTGCCAAGGTGTTCCATGGGTCTAGCGTGAGGGAGGAGAGGAGCAGCGCCGCCTGTGTGAAACTCGACGAGAAACTGTATATCCCCTCTATCAGGGGGTCAGTGATGCCTATGCCTCCTAGCGATGGTGGCAGCGACGCTTGATCCCAGACTCGCGCTTGCTCGGCCCTACACGTGGGGACGCGTATGTCGCATGATGTGAGCAGGGCGGTCAGAAGGTCCCTTCCCCACTGGCTCCATTTTTCGCGGGGGAGAAAATGCAAGGGCGTCGTCCTAGTGAGGTAAGCTACCCGTCTAGAGATACATCGCATGATGAGCAGTGCCGCTACTTGGGGGTCAGTTCGTTCGATAAGTGGTAACGGCTTCGCCATCTCGTCGAGTTGACCCGCTAGATACTTAGCTGCTCCACTATCCGGCCTCAGGAAACTACCCAGGAGCCTCACGCCGTCCTTAGAAAAAGGCACTCCATGCGGGAGTTGAGCTTGTTCGACTGCAATTGATCGCCAGGCTGCGCACTTCTGCAGATTGTGCGTAAGGCCCAGTTGTGCTAGCTTGTTAGTGAAAGTGTTGAAAGCTGCTACAGTGTGGGCTGTGTCACCCAGAAAAGTGACGTCGTCCGCATACGCCAAGCAAAGCACGTCGGGGTGTGCTTCTGCAACTTCGCGGAGGGTGGTGTGTATCCCCGCTGCAAACAGAAGTGGGCCAAGGGGGTCACCCTGGCGAACGCCGCGTGTCAGCGGTTTGGAGTTGAAGTTGGCGTCCAGGAGTAGTTGCGATGGGTTACCGTATGTGAGTTTCACTAGCGGCAGCAGTGGCGATAGGGCGGGCTCCTGTAACGCGGTGGCGATGGCTTCATTCGAAATGCTGTTGAACGCGTTCGAAATATCCGCCTGTAGGACCAGGCTGTCCGGGCGGGCATCCAAGTATGCCCTGGCTGCGTGGATTACTGCCTCTGCACCACCTGGCACTGCCACCCCGAACTGTAGCGGTAGAAAGAATTCGCGGGCCGCCTCTCCCATGGCCTGTAGGGCATCCTTGGCTGCCAGCCTCGTCAGACATTCGCCGATCGCGATTGGCCTAGCCCCTCCCCCCGGCTTGGCGAGGGCTATGAGTCATGACACAGTTAGAAGGTTCGCGACCGAGCCTGGCAATTTTCCTCCCTGCATGGTGTTAACCAAGGCGTGCAGATGGGTGCTGACCATTGCATTGGTAATTGCCGCGTCGCGTAGGTGCTTGAATGTCATGCCTGACGGTCTGGCTCCCACCCCATTTTCGCACCCTCCCAGAATTTTGGCGAAGTCGGGGTAGGGGATTGGCAGCTTTGACCTTTGTGGCACGGGCCATATCACCGCCTCGTGTTCAGCAGGTGGGTGCTTTTGGCGCAGCTCCTCCAATATTTCCGGGCTGGGAGTGCAAACTGGCGTTGACTCCAGGGCCAGCACGGCCCGGCGCAGACTGCCACGTTTCGCCAGGCCCTCCGCACGACTGATGACTCCGGTCGCGTCTGGCTGGTGTTTTGGCGGTGGCGGTGAGTTGACTGCGTGCAACGCGTCCCGGTACAACTGCTCCCATTCGCCACGCTGGAAAGCCCGGAGCCGGGCTTTGACACGTGGCCAGTTCGGTCGCTGCGGCGAGGTCTGGCGAAGTGTTAGACGCGGGAGAAACAGCAGCAGGCGCCAGGCCGTTTCCGACTCTGGGTTTCGCGATAGGTGCAGTAACGGTGTCAGGAGTGCTAGCGAAAACAGCTGGCACAGTAAACTCCGCGACAGTGAAGGCTGACGGCTGTCGCAAAGAGTTGCGGTGTCCCAATTCACGATGGCAGCGAACAGGTCTGTCCGCTTCGCTAATTCGTCTGGTGAAAAGTAGTGGGGAATTGGTGTTGAAGGGCGTGTCGCACTACCACCAACGGTGGTTCAATTTTGCCCAGCGCGGCCCGGCCTCGCTGGTGGGCTCAAGGTTGGAATTGCAGCCGTCCGATCGGCATCGGACGGAGCTTGAGCCATCTGTGGTACTCGCAAAGATGTCTGCCCTACCGCCGCTTCCCTTCTCCCTGGTCTCTCCCTCGCCCTGCTTTCCTCTTCCGTCTCTTCGTCCTCGCTCGCAGGGAGGGCTTCCTCCCTATATGTAGCGTCGTTAAGCTCGTCGTCCTCATCAGTCACTTCCAAGTCATTTAAAGCCGTTCTTGCCGCTGCCTGATACCCGTTCTCCGGCCCTCCGCCTGTCCCACGTACAGGTTGTCTCCTTGTCCCGCGGCCTCCCCGCTCCTGCGATGGTGATTGCTGGTGCGCCTGAGCCGTCGCCAGAGCTCGTTGCCGCCTGGTCGGCTGCGGCCTCCAAGCCTCCGGCGGAGCCCGAAAGGGTGACCATGGCGACGAAGCCCCCTCTACCGCCGGCTCCGAAACCCTCGACAATAGCCTCTGAAAGGACTCCTCCCCACGCACCCGCGGATCCCCTTGCCGCATCGGGGGCTGGCCCGTCTGCCCCTGCTGCGGTTCCGTCTGCTCCGACTGCGGCCCCTGGCCCACCGTCTCCCCTTGTCGAGCTGTCGGCGTCTGCCCCTGTTGAGGGTGTTGCTGATCCCCCTGCACCAGTCCCTGGCACCCCTGTTGCACCGCCCGTTTCTGTCCCCGGCGTGCCTGCTCCGGCCTCAGCTTCGTCACCGAAGGCGGCGTCCGCCACCACTGGCGGACCGGCTCCGTTGGTTGCGCTCTCGGCGGCAGGTCTGTCCGCACCTGCTGTGACGCCGATGGCCCCGGCAGGTCAACCGTCACGCCCTCCATCACCTGACCGTCGCTCGTCGCACCCCCATTCCCCCGTGCCCCACCAGGAGCGCACGTCGTCTCGTCACCGGCGTGAGTCTCGACAGCGTTATCAGCAACAGTCGCATTGGCCTGCTCACCCCGGAGGTCAGGGGGATTGGAGGGGTCCCCGTGCTCGTGGCGGGGGTGGGGGGTACCGCCCGCCCGTGACGATGGCGGATCTTCAGCGGGAAGTGTCGAGGGCGGTTCGTGAGGAGAGGGCGGCACAGAGCCAGTGTAGTTCGATGTGCGCCATGCCATCCTACGAGGCTCCTCGTCCGGCTGTGCTCCCCGCAAGCCTGTGGCTGCGCCTCCTCTTCAGATCCATGCGCCGCCAGCTCCTTCTCCTGCTGTCTCGGCACCTGCTCCCGGCTCTCGTCGACATCTGCCGGCAGTTCCGCCCGTTGCGGGAGTGGAGTTCGTGGCCGCGGGTGGTGGCGCAGCGGCGGCTCCGAATGCACTCCAAGTTGCTGCTGATGAGCCGCTCCAGTTCATGGCGGAGGCACTCCAGCCTCCGCAGACCCATGTTCCCGAGGCGACTCTCGGACAGCAACACCGCCTTGCTGACAGTCTCCACGCGCTGCTGCTGATTCAGGTGCTGGCTCACTCGTCTCTCCTCGTGATCCCTCCTGAGACCTTCAGTGGCCGCCAGCGTGACACTTGCCTGGACGCGGCGGACCAGCTCGCAGCGCTGCTGGCGCCCGTGCTGGTTGCGCCCGCGGAGGGTGGCGCTGCTGCTGCGGGACAGCTTGACGAGGCTGTCCGGGGCTTGAGGCGGCATTTGCGCGGAGGATCTGGAGCCGTGGCGCAAGCACGCTTGTGGTCCGGGAACTGTGGCGCTCCCTGACGGGCGTTCTTCACGCCCTTGGAGCTCACCGCATGTAGATGCGGGCTCCGTTTGCCCCATGATTACTTTCCTTCAGCTAGTCTGCCGTAGGACATGCCATGCGTGTAATGCCTTCTAATATAAGCAACTGTGTGTCGAATGACTTGCCGTCCCCTCGCGCGAGCGCAAAATTTCAACCGCCAACTGAATAGTGAGGAAGAGAAGGCTAAGACGGGCCCTTAAGTAGCTAGGTGACCGAGGGCAGAGGCTAAGGGCACAGGGCAGAGGCTATTCCTCTCTCTCTCTCTCTCTCTCTCTCTCTCTCTCTCTCTCTCTCTCTCTCTCTCTCTCTCTCTCTCTCTCTCTCTCTCTCTCAAGCGGTCATGCATTTATGTTGCTTATAAGGTACAGACATGCAGGGACGGGACACAGCTAGTAGACTGTTCTAGGCATGCTAGCAAATGGGAAGGCAAGACAAGCACACTAGCAAACACAAGGCACAGGCCGTCCTAAGCAAGCATAACCCACGTCCGAGAGCTCCCTGTGCCACCCTCATCCAACAGGCCAAGGGCGTGAAGAACGCCCTCTCTCTCCTGTGAGCACCAGCCGCCCCTCCTTCCTCCCTAGCTGAGCCTACACTTCTGCTAGGTCATCATCAAGCACCTGCCAGAGGTCCCCTAGGCTCGGCTCCCAGGGGTCTGTAGATGCTTGGGGGAAGGCCACTTCGGCTGCCATGTTGCTCTTGTTGAGGAAGGAAACCGCCTGGGAACGCTGCAGCATGACCGACCAGCGTTGGCGGTATTGAGCGTTTAGGCGAGAGGCTGTAGTAGTGAGTGGCCCTTGCTTGAACTTTTTCCTCGCCGCGGCTACAGCTAACAACCTAAAGAACTGCACTGTATCCGCCGCCAGCGCCCCGTTAGTTTCCACTGCCAGTCCAAAGCACCCTACGTAGTCAGGCCGGCCTTCATACAGGCGATGTTTCTTCTCCGAAGCTTCCCTGGCAGCCCACCCCGGCGGCTTCCGCACCCTAGGGTCCCGCTTCTGCAGCACTGGGTCTGTCACTGTCACATCCGTGACCCAAGTCTCCGCCGATTCCTTGTCCTGGAACGCCAGGTCTGCCCGCTTGCGGTGGACAGGGGGGGAGAACACGGACGTCTCATGGAAAGTGTTGAAGCCTGCTTCCTTCGCCAATCTCAGCGCCGTGAACACCAAGGCGTTATGCGTTCTCACCACATCCCCCCCCTCCCCACAGCGGAGCAGGTGATTTGCCAGACTGGTATCTGTGATACCCGAGTTGCTGCGTTTACAGGGGCAGTTGACCGTGACTGGTAGGGCCATCCCGAGGCGGAACCCGAGTGCCAACGAGAACTGACCAGGGGCAAATGTAAGGTCAGATCTCGTTGGCACCGCGTGTAGCCAATCCCCAACTCCTACCCCCCTCAGGCTGACCAGCCGGACCCCGTGTCCCTGGTCTTCGCCCGGTTTGTCAACCAAGGTATCAGCAAGCAGCTCCCTGGCACGAACCACATTGATGTGCTTGGACAGGAGCAGCTGCAGGTTACCCTGCCCCTAAGGGCCCTCTCTATAGGCCTGAAGTGCCATCTGCGCCTCTGCCGGCAGCCTCTCCTCCAGAGTCACCAGCACATTCGATGCTGGGGGCGGAGGGACCCACTCTCTGGACAGCAATGTCACAGCCCGCGCTAACAGCTCTTCCTCCCGCAAGTTCATCTGCTGCAACAGGTGATGCGCTGCCGTCAGGGACGCAATGTAGGCCGCTGGTGCCTCAAAGACAGGATCAATGATACTAAGCCCCCCCAGGCGCACGGCAGAGTCGCCTGGCGCCACAAAAGGCTCTGCTCCAGTTCACTAGCCGGGATCCGTAGCTTTGCTGCCGCAAGCGCCGCTCCCAACAGCGACTCGCTCCACGCCCTCCACTCCTCCCGTTCCAGTGTGCTGCTCGGAGTGGTGCGGAGCAGATATGAGATCCTGCGTGAGATGCTGCGGGAGAGTAGTAGCAGGGCGTGTTGGGGGTGCAGCTGCGCGATAAGAGGGACGGGTGCTGATGCCTTGGCGAGCGCTTGTCGGATCTCCGTGGTGCAGTACTCCAACGTGCCGATGGGACTACCAAGCACCCTGATTCCCTCCGTACTCATCCGCAATCCATGTGGTGGTCCCGTCTGCCCCTCGTCTCTCTCCCGTGGTCCCCATGCCGATGACTTGGCCACATTGCACCGGAGCCCGCGCTTAGCCAGCTATGTGATGATGGCGTCGAAGGTGTTGAACACATCCTCCCGCGGACCCACTACCGTGATGTCATCGGCGTAGGCTATGACAGCTGCCCCTGGGTGCGAAGATGCCGCGCACATCAGGGGTGGATCGCAGCTGCAAAGAGGAGAGGACCGAGGGGGTCGCCCTGACGCACACCGCGAGAGCTCATGATGTGCTCGACTCCTAGGGCCGGGTCGATGAGGAGACGCGAAGGCGAGTCATCTAGTGTTCCGACAAACGGCAGCAGCTGGTGCAGGTCCGAGATCTCCAGCGCCGAGAAAAACGCCTCCCGCTCGACCGAATTAAACGCGTTTTCTACGTCTAATTGAAGCGCGACGTAGTGATCATGCTCCCGGAGCAAGGCCCGCACAGTATGAATGACGCACTCCGCTCCGCCGGGCACAGACACTCCGTACTGGACGGGGAGGAAAAATTCACGAATCATCGGTGCAAACTCTCTTAATTCCGCCTTCGCCGCCACCCTGAGCAAGGCCTCTCCTATAGCGATGGGTCGTACACCTCCTCCCGGCTTCTCGAGTGCTATCAGACGAGACGGCAGGAGTATGTCTCGTATCTCCCTTGTCTGTGCACTATTGAGTAACTGACCGATGATCTTGGTGAGGAGTATAAGGACTTCCTCGCTGCAGTGGGCCGGGTCCTTCAAATGCTCGAAGCATGTGCCCGAGGGCCCAGCCCCAACTCCGTTCGGGCATTTCGCGAGTATTTCGCGGGCATCGTCTGGGGTCAGGTTCAGCGTTGAGGCAGGTGCGCCAGTGCGGTAAGTTACCCAGCTCGGGATTGGCAACTCCCCAACAGGATGTTTCGCCTGTAAGGCAGCGAGTGTAGCAGGTGTTGGTGCCGCCTGCGGGGTCACTTGTAACGCAGACACTGCCTTGGAAATATTTGCCTTCTTTATCAACCCTTCTGCTCGTGCACACAGGCTTGCATCGTCTGACTGGTGGCGTGTCGGGGCTGCAGTATCGGGGATCACGCATGCCTCACTGTAGAGATCGGCAAGATCCCCGAGCCTGAAGTGGTGCAGCCGGGTCTCAATCATGATCCAGCGGCTCCCCTCCACCGGCTCTGGGAGAGGTCGAAGGGTCAAACGAGGCAGGAACTGCAGTCAAACGATTCTCTCTCTCTCTCTCTCTCTCTCTCTCTCTCTCTCTCTCTCTCTCTCTCTCTCTCTCTCTCTCTCTCTCTCTCTCTCTCTCTCTCTCTCTCTCTCTCGAACGGTCCTTTATTGATATAACATGCAGTACATATTGTAGGGTTATCATAGAGCAGATACAACCAAGTGAGCGTCTACACATGCCATCTAGCAGCCCTCCTGCGGGGGCTCAAGTGTTGCAAAGCAGTCCCCCGGGTTTAGCACCCCCTCTGGCCCTCCCAGAGGGGGGTTTTCAGCCTGTGCTGCAAGGTTCAGCTTCATGAGGAAGCTAACCGCCTGTGCCCTCTGCAGGGCAACCGACCAACGCTGACGGAACTGGTGAAGCATCTTAGCGGCCTGGTAGGTAGAGGGGTCCGCATTAAAGAGCTTCCTAGCTGCCGTGTCAGCAAGGAGTTTGAGGAAGGTCGGTACTTCATCACAAGGGCAGCCGTAGGTTTCCACTGCCAAGGGGAAGAACCCCGCGAACTCTGCCCTGCCATGGTAGAGCCCTATTTTCTTATCTGCCTGCTCCCGTGCTGCCCAGCCCCTCCCCTTCCTTGCTCTCTCATCACGTTTGCTGATAGGGTCGGTGATCGTAACATCCGCCAGCCATACCGCCCCTGAGCTCCGGTCCTGGAAGGCCAAATCTGCCTTCTTGTTATCTACCGGGCTGAAGGCAGTGCACTCCTTGTGCACCGCGAACCCGGCATCCTGCGCCATGCGGATACACTCGTCGCGGAGCTCGTTGTGGGTGTTGGTCCGACCGTGGCCTTTGCCGCACCGCAGCAGGTGGTTTGGCAGTCTCTTGTCGAGGATAGCAACTCGTTTGTCACAGAAAGGTTCAGAATCATGCAAGTTCTAGCCTAATCCCTCTAGAGTTCCACCAGTGGTTCCAAAACTGCAAAACAATCCCCTAGGTGTAGTTCATGTCCAATCCCCCCAACCGGGGGGTTCTCAGCTGCTGCCGCCTCACCCAATTTCATGAGGAGGCCCACCGACTGTGCTCTTTGAAGAGCAACTGACCACCGCTGCCTGAACTGATGCAGAAACTTGGCGGCATGATAGGAGTTAGAATCGGCGTTGAAGTGGTGCCGAGCCGCCGTGTCTGCCAGGAGTTTAAGGAAGACGGGGACCTCTGCACATGGGCAACCATAGGTCTCCACCGCCAGTGGAAAGAAGCCGACTGTCTCAGGTCTGTTCGCATAGTGTTGAATCTTCTTGTCCGCCTGCTCTCTGGCCGCCCATCCTCTGCCTTTCTGCGCCTCTAGGTCCCGAGTGCTGATGGGGTCTGTCACAGTTACATCACACACCCAAACCGCCCTGCTGCTCCTGTCGGTCATAGTGAAGTCGGCCGTCTGCTCCTCGATGGGACAATGGGCGGCCGACTCGCTGTGGACTATGAAACCCGCATCCTGCGCCATACTAATGCACGCATCCCGGAGCTCGTTGTGGGTGTTGATGCGATGCTTGCCGGTGCCGCATCGAAGGAGGTGGTTTGGGAGGCGAGGATCCGTGATTTCGGTGTGGTTTGAGCAGTCACAGTTTTTGGGGGTGGAGAAGGGCAACCCTAGCCTGAATCTGACGGCATTGGCAAAGTGTGCCGGTCCTATGCACCTTGTCGCCTCGATAGGTATCGCCGTCAGCCAGTCCCCCGTGCCATAGCCCGTTAGAGAAAACATCCGCTGCGTATGGCCCGCTAGCGGATTCAGCTCCATGTCTCTCGTCGCCTGTACTTGCACGGCGTAGCGGCTACCGTGGACCTGTAGGGCGAGGGCATGCTGCAGCTTGACATCCGTCCGCTTAATACATTCCCGTTCTAGCAGCTCTCGCGCGTCAGAAGGCAGGGCGGTTTCGCATTCGGCGAGCCAGGAGTGAAGCGGTGTGCTTTCGTCCCTGGGCAGGAGCATATGGCAGCGCGCTTGAGATAGTGCGGAGTTCGGGTCTAGCGCGAGCGCGGAGAAGAGCAGCGCCGCCTGCGTGAAGCTTGCGACGAAACCGTAAACTCCCTCGACGAGGGGGTCTGTAATGCCTATTCCACCGAGAGAGGGGGGCAGTGACGCCTGAGCCCAGACCCGTGACTGCTCTGCTCTGCCCGCCGGAGCGCGAATGTTGCACGAGGTGAGTAGTGCCAAGAGGAGGTCACGGCCCCACTCGGTCCATGTATCCTGGGAGACGAGATTGAGGGGGGTTGTTCGGGTGATATACGCCACGTGCCGGGAGATGCAGCGCGTGATCAGCAGCGAGGCGGCCTGTGGGTCGGCCTAGTCGATGAGTGGCAATGGTTTCGCCAAGTCCCTCAGCTGCCCCGCCAAGAACGTGGCTGCCCCGTCGGCCGCCCCTAGGAAACTTCCCAACAGACGGACGCCGTCCCTGCAGAATGGCACCCCTTGAGGCAGTTCAGGTGAATCGCCCGCGGCAGCGCTCCATGCGGTATACTTTTGAGGGTTATGTTTTAAACCCAGTAATTCCAACCTCGTGGTGAAGTGGGTGAAGGCAGCTACAGTTGCACGTGGTTCACCCACAAATGTCACGTCGTCTGCATACGCCAAGCAAAGCACCTCAGGGTGTGCTGCTGCAGTGTCGCGAAGTGTGGGGTGGATTCCCGCCGCAAAAAGGAGTGGGCCCAGTGGATCGCCCTGGCGAACGCCTCGTTCACTTCGCAGGGGCTCGCTCGCAAAATTCGAATCCAGGTAGAGCCGCGATGGGTTACCATAGGTCAGGCGAACCAGGGGGAGCAGCGGCGACAGGGTTGGTTCTTGTAACGCTGCTGCGATGGATTGTCGCGAAATGCTGTTGAAAGCGTTCGCAATGTCGGTCTGCAGTACCAGGCTGTTGGGGTGGCTGTCCACGAACGTTCGGGCGGCATGAATTATCGCTTCCGCCCCTCCTGGCACCGCCACGCCGAACTGTAGGGGTAGGAAGTGTTCACGTGCAGCTTCGCCCATGACCAACAGCGCAGCCTTGGCAGCCAGGCGCGTCAGGCATTCGCCGATCGCGATTGGTCGGGCACCTCCTCCAGGTTTGGCCAGGGCGATGAGTCGAGATGCTGTCAGCAGGTCCGCTACCGAGGCTGGGAGGTTTCCACCCAAAATTGTGTTTACCAGGGCGTGCAGATGGGTGCAGACGGATGCATTGATTATTGCCGCGTCGCGGAGATGCTCAAATGTCGTGCCTGATGGTCCGGCCCCCACGCCATTATCGCATCGCCCAAGAAGCTTCACAAATTCAGCGTGTGAAATGCCTAGGGGACGGGTGTCGGTTGCTTGCCAGGTCAGCGACTCCGTCCCTGCTGGCGGGTGTTTCTGTCGGAGTTCAGCCAGGATTTCTGCACTTGGCGTGCAGACGGGAGTTGACTCGAGCGCCAGCACGGCTCGGCGCAGACTGCCACGTTTGGCCAACCCCTCCGCTCGACTCAATATACCTGGCACGTCGGGTTGGTGACGCGGGAGTGGAGGGGTGTTGACCGCGTTTACTGCATCTTGGTAGAGCTGCGTCCACTCGCCACGCTGGAAAGCCCGGAGCCGGGCCTTGATTTGCGGCCAGTTTGGGTGCTTTGGCGAAGCTTGGCGAAGGGTTAGACGCAGGAGGAAAAGAAGTAGGCGCCAGAGTTGCCGACTCCTGCCTCTGTCTCGTCCCCGCAGGCGGCGTCCGCCACCACTGGCGGCCTGGCCCCGTTGGTTGGCCCCCCGGTTGGGGGTCCGGCTGCACCTGTTGTGCCACCGACTGCTCTTGTGGCGCAGCAGTCTCGCCCGCCGTCACCCAGCCGGCGCCCATCTCGCCCTCATTCTCCCGCTCCCCAGCAGGATCGTCAATCCTCTCGGCGCCGGCGCAATTCTCCCCGTCGCCCGCATCAGCAGGCCCAGTGGCACGCGAACCACGGCGGCCGCGGTGGCTGGTGGGGTCCCCGCGGTCGCGGAGGTGGTGGGGCGTACGATCCGCCCGTGAGGATGGCGGATCTGCAGCGGGCGGTGTCAACTGCGGTGCGTGAGGAGAGGGCCGCCCTGACCCAAGGCAGCTCTCACGCTGTCGTGGCACGTGCTGCTCCTCGCCAGGCTGAACTTCCTGTGGGCCCGCCGCCGGCTGCACCTGTCCCTCATCAGAGTCCGGCCCCGTCGGCTCCCGCTGTTGCTGCCTCTGCTCCTGTTCCTGGGTCTCGGCTTCGTCTCCCGCCCGTTCCGCCTGTGGCGGGAGTTGAATTTATGGCTGCGGGAGTGGGAGCGCAGTACCCTCATCCCGGAGTTGGCGGTTCAGCAGCTCCTTCCCGCGAGGAGCCGTTTCAGTTTCTCGCCCAGCTCTTCCGCCTCGCGGAGCGCTTCCATGCTCTGCTCCTGATACAGGTTCTCGCGCATTCGTCTCTTCCTGCAATTCCCCCTGAGACGTTCCAGGATCGCCACCGTGAGTCGTGCCTGGACGCAGCCGACCAGCTCGCAGTGCTGCTGGTGCCCGTGCTGGCTGCGCCCGTAGAGGGTGGAGTTGCGGCTGCTGGGCAGCTCGATTAGGCTGTACGCAGCCTGAGGCGCCATTTGCGTGCAGGTTCTGGAGCCGCCGCATCGGCGCAAGCACGCTTGTGGTCCGGGAGCTGTGGCGCTCCCTGACGGGCGTTCTTCACGCCCTTGGAGCTCACCGCATGTAGGCGCGGGCTCCGGTTGCCCCATGGTCGATTTGCTTATCTAGGCTGACGTAGGGAATGCCATGCTTGTACTGCTTTTGAATATGAACCACAGTGTGTGCCTGTACTTGCCGTCCCCTCACGCGCGGCCGAAGGCCCACAAAGGGATAATGAGCCGGGGAAGCAAGATCGGCCACTTAAGTACCTAGTAGAACGAGGGCAGAGGCTAAGGGCAGAGGGCAGAGGCTAACCCTCTCTAATGGTCCGTATATTGATAGAGTTGGAAGCTACAGACATGCAAGATATGGATAGCAAGGTCTAGCTAACCAAACAATCAAACAACACCAACCAGTCACACAACTACCACACCACCGCCCTCTCTAGAGCTCCAGAAAAGGCTCAACTATCGCGAAGCAATCCCCAAGGTGCAGCTCCCGCCCTATGCCTCCCACAGGGGGGTTTTCTGCCGCTGCTGCCTCGCCCAACTTAAGGAGGAGTCCCACGGATTGCGCTCTCTGCAGGGCCACCGACCACCGTTGCCTGAATTGGTGCAGAAACTTGGCGGCGTAGTAGGATTCTGAGTCGGCGTTGAAGTGGCGCCGAGCCGCTGTGTCTGCCAGGAGTTTAAGAAGACAGGCACCTCGGCGCAAGGACAGCCGTAGGTGTCGACTGCTAGGGGGAAGAAGCCAACCGTCTCTGGGCGGTTGGCGTAATGCTTTATTTCATTGTCGGCCTGTTCCCGTGCCGCCCATCCCCTGCCCTTCTGTGCTTCCGGGTCCCTAGTGCTGATAGGGTCAGTGATAGTAACATCGCAGATGTAAACGGCCCCACTGCTGCGATCAGTCATGGTGAAGTCGGCAATTTGCTCCTCGATAGGGCAGTAGGCCGCTGACTCCCTATGTACGATAAACCCTGCGTCTTGCGCCATGCTAACGCAGGCGTCTCGCAGCTCGTTGTGCGTATTTGTGCGATGCTTGCCTGTGCCGCAGCGGAGCAGGTGGTTCGGGAGGCGTGGGTCAGTGATAGCCGTGTGTTCTGCGCAGTCACGGTTTTTGGGAGTGGAAAACGGTAGGCCAAGACGGAAGTGTACAGCGTTGGCGAAGTGCACTGGCCCTATCCGCCTTGTGGGAGCGATGGGAATCGCGTTGAGCCAGTCGCCCGTGCCGTAGCCAGTGAGTGAGAACATCCGGTGCGTGTGACCCGCAAGCGAATTCGGCTTCATACGCCTCGTCGCCCGCACCTGAACTGCATATCTGCTTCCGTGGACCTTGAGTCCTAGCACATGCTGGAGCCGGATGTCAGACCGCTCCAGCCGCTCCTTCTCCAGGATCTCCCGCGCATCTAACGGCAGTGCCTCCTCGCACTCGGTCAGCCAGGTGTGTAGCGGTGTGCTGTCAACCGGCGGCAGTAGCATATGGTTTCGTGCTAGTGCGAGGGCGTTATCCTGTTCTTGCGGTAGGGAGCTGATATAGAGTGCCGCCTGCGTGAAACTTGCTGTGAAGCCATAAATCCCCTCGACTAGTGGGTCGGTGATGCCCAGGCCTCCTAACGATTGCGGCAGCGACGCTTGTTCCCAAACCCGCGATTGTTCGGTTCGACAGGTCGGGACGCGGATATCGCACGATGTTGTTGGTTCAAGGGCCTAATAAACTCAAGCTACTAAGACGCAATTCAAACTTAAACCTCTCCTCGGGGTCACCTCCAAGGGTCCCTGGGCGCCTGGTACAAGACCAGCCCCTATCCGCTTGAATCAATTGACTATGTTCAGGTACAAACAGAGAAGGAATAAATAGTTCTAGCTAGCAAAGACCTTGGGAATCAACCTGGGAACAACCAGGGATGATCCTAAATAATTCCAAGCAACAGAACCAACCTGGCTGGACAAAACAGCAGGTGGTAGGTTGGAAAACAACCTCTGGTTCTGTTTTTCCAACCTGGGAAAACAACAACCAGATTCAGGTTCTAAAAACAGAACCTGTTTTGTCTTTGCCCAACCAGCCAAATGCTGGTTCCGCTGGTTTCCCCTGGCCTTGTAGCATGCAGATACAGACAAACAACATCCAACCTTCACCTAAATTGTACCCCTATAGTGCCTGCCCTGCTACACTATAGTTAACCAAACAAAACAGTACAATTACAAGTTGGATAGAACTGAATCTGCGCAATCAATTCAACCGAACTGCAAAGCTTCCATCTTGGGTTCCTTTGCGAGCTCGTCCTTTCTGCTTGCACTGTTCATAGCGCGTACAATGTTGTGCCGAAGCGAACATTGTGCGAGTACCTGCAAATGCTTCAAGCGAAAATTGCGAAAGCAAACAAACACACGAACACACCATTCACACGCAAATGCATTCGCACACGCATACTCGTACAAACAGACGGCAGGATGTCGTGCAATGTGAATTTGCACCCAACACACTCCCCCTCAGCCTGCCGGCTGCATTTCCATCATTCCATGCTAGTTCATGCTCATTCCAATCATGCGCACACAACGCCAATGAGGCTCATCCGCAAGCCTCTTGGTGTGAAAGTCTGCTGGCTGCTGGTGAGTCTTGATGTAGATCGGATTCACCGTCCCCCTTTTCACTTCCTTACGCAGCCAGTGCCACTTGATACGCATGTGCTTGTTCAGCCCATGAAGCACAGCGTTCCTGGCCATCCCAAGAGCCCCCTTGCTATCACAAAACAGCGGCGTAGCAACCTTCTGCTCCTGACCAATCTCCTCTAACAACCTCCTCAGCCAAATCACCTCCTTCACCCCGTGGAACATTGCCATGTACTCTGATTCCACGGAAGAGAGTGCTGTCTCCGTCTACTTCTTGGACCTCCAACTAACAGGTCCTCCCCCTACTACGCAGATGTATCCTCCCACAGATGAAGAATCTTCCGTCTCAGAAGCCCAAGTTGCATCGGTAAAGCAAGTGAGAAAGAGCTTGCCTTCTCCAAGCCTCTCCCCCTTCTCTTTCAGCACCTCAACCCCTTTCTGCTTCACCTGTGCAGATGCGGAGTATTGAACTCCAATGCTTGGGTGGGAGTTCAGATACTTCACCACACGCTCAGCTGCATCCACCTGCTCCTCTGATGGATTCTGCACCACCCTAGCCAGCTGCCCAACCGAGAAAGAGATGTCAGGCCTCGTGTGAACTGCTGCATACAAGAGGCTGCCAGCCAAGGACTGGAATTGCTGCTGCTCCTCAGCTTCAACCCCTTCATCCTCTGCAGCCTTTACAAGCTTGAATTCTGCTGGCAGGGGAGTTGCAACCTTGCGCTCATTCTCAATCCCATACTTCTCCCCCAGCTCATTGATGAACTTCTCCTGGTGCAGTTTCAACCACCTGTGATCTGGATCCCTCTCCACGTGCATCCCGAGGTAGTATTTTACCTCCCCAAGGTTCTTGCACTTGAAGTTCTCCATCAGCTACTGCTGCACTTTCTGGATCTCCTTCATGCTGCTGCTGAAGAGAAGAATGTCGTCCACGTAGACCAGAAACAACACCAGCTTCTCCCCCTCCCCCTTGAGAAAGAGGCTCTCATCACAGCTGCTGGTCCTGAATCCTATCTCCTCTAAAACAGCTGCCAGCTTCTGGTACCAGCAGCGTGGCGCCTGCTTCAAGCCGTAGATGGACTTTTTCAGCTTGCACACCCTGCCCGTACCATCCTCATACCCAGGCGGCTGCGTCATGAACACCTCCTCCTCTAAAATCCCGTTGAGGAATGCCGTTGATATATCCATCTGGATAATGAACTTCCCACTAACGGCTGCATCTGCAACAAGACACGAAGGGTAGGGGGTTTGGCAGTGGGAGCAAAGATCTCATTGAAGTCCCGCTTCTCCTTCTGCATAAACCCCTTAGCCACCAACCTACTCTTGTAGATGGTGACCTGCCCCTTGTCGTCGGTCTTGATCCTTAGCACCCACTTGCATTGTACCGCTTTCTTTCCCTCAGGCAGCACCACTAGTTCCCAAGTCCCATTCTCCAGCAGGCTCTGGTACTCAGCATCCCTAGAAGCCAGCCATTTGTCCCTATCTGGTCCAGCTAATGCCTCCTCCATGCTAGCTGGTTCCTCTGGTGCAGGGGCAAGAAAACAGTACGCAGGCTCATCCTCCTCATCTGGGTCATAGCCATGCGGTAGATTCAGCAATGCCTCCTCGGTCCCTAGCTGCTGCTCTGCTGCATCAGCTCCTGCAGTCAGCTTCATCGTTTCCATGCGGGTACGTCCTGGCCTAGAGACGGGTGTCTCCCATCCCTTCATCACAACACCCTTTGGCTTCCTCCTTGATGGTAGCTTAGGAACCTTTGTTTTCCCCTGCTGCTCTTCTCCTCCCTCGGATCCAGCAGCTCCACTAGTGCTACCACTAGTCTCCACATCACCTCCTCCACCAGCAGGTGCCTCCTGCACCTTCTCTCCATCACCACCCTCTGCAGCTGCCTCCTCTCCCTCCTCCCGCACACTAGGAGTCAGGTCCAGCTGCATGGTGATCTGCTCCATCTCCTGTGATATCTTGGCCTCAGGCTGTTGCTTCCAGCCCCCATACATCAGGCCCTCAACAAACTTCACATCCCTGCTGTCAAACAACACACCCTTGCGTGGTTCCCACAGCAACCATCCCTTGCTCTCGGCAGCCAGCCCCAAATGCACACACCAGATTGCACTCGCCCCCAACTTACTGCGGTAGGTCTTGGGGACGTGGGCGACTGCCATGCAACCGAACACCCTCAGCATGTCTACCGGAGGCTTCCTCCCAAGCCACCTCTCCAACGGCACCCACGAGTCATCACCAACCTTAGTGAGCACCCTGTTCCTAGCAACGGTGGCGTGCCGAACAGCATGGGGCCACATTGAGTTGCTCAGCCCAGATTCTATGAGTAGCGCCCTAGCTGTCTCCGA